GAGAGAGAGAGAGAGAGAGAGAGAGAGAGAGAGAGATGCAGTGGCCATCATGTGTGTGTGTGTGTGTGTGTGTGTGTGTGTGTGTGTGAGACACACGGTCATTTTTTGCAGCAGCACCACAACACACGGTCATTTTTTGCAGCAGCACCACAAAGACCACGTGCTTCAAATCCGAATTTCTGGTGCGAGGGCATGATGGAAAGGTGTATGCCGCTCATGAGGGCATATCGCACAGGGGCCGGTGAAATGAGACTGGTCATCCAGTAAGGGCACCGCGGAAAGTTGTGCTTCTTGCTGACAGGGGCATGCAGGAAAGTTCAGAGGCCCCAGGGGCACGACAGGGTAAGTGGCCCGTCGGAGGGGCATGACGCAAAATAATGGAAATTTCAGGGGCGCCAGACAAATTTCCCCCAAACTAAATGACGAAAACGGACAAAAAAAAAACGCCTGCAAAATAATTCGCCAAATTTTTGGCAAAAGTATTGGTTCCGGCCACTGCAGGAAAAATGTAAAGCAGCCGGCCGGCCACGCACTGGACCAGCCTAACGGTTTCAAAGGCCCTTTCCGCAATCTGTTGCCTGACTGCCTCTCGAAAAGGGCCTGACGTCCAGCACCTTGGGGCTTTGGGAGCACTACTGGAAAGGTCGGCGACCTGCCGGAAAACCCGGAGCTGTGAACCGGGCCCTAACTCACAGCGCCGAGGGGTTTCGACTGTAGGGGGAGTGGGTATCTACCAATTTTGAATTTTCCCCATGTAAAAAGGAGGCAAGCAAATACCACCACCACTCGTATTGTATACTCGGTGCGACTGAAGTTTCCCAGTGCGCATACCTTCTCTACTGCTACTTGCTGGGGATAGGTAGTTCCTGCCCTTGTTTCTTTTTCCGCCTCGGCACCCTCCGGCCGCCATTCTCGTTACACTGTTGTGGGTGGTTGGTTGGTGTGTTTCTCCTTCTTTTTCCCCATTTACGTTCCTCCTTTTTTTCAGGGGAAGTAGGCCCTATGAACGTTTTTTTTTTTTTTTTTTTTTTTTTTTTTTTTTTTAAAAGAACAACCCGAGTAAGTGCTAGGGGTGCTGATAAGAGCAGACACCAGTAGCATGCTCAGGGAGGCTCCATCTATTGGTGGGGAGCTACACCTGCTGGAAACCGGGTCCAGCGTCCCTTACCATTTCAGGAAAGCGAAAATTGTAAAAATCCAGTAGTTATATAGCCATGCCACGTGTCCATTGTACTATAGATTAGTGAACACCTGAATTGACACGTAGGCACACATCCGGCCCTATGAACGTTTTATCGAGCAAGAATCGAACTAATGATCTGTTCGTCAACCGGCCGGTCCATCCCATCGACAATTCAGCCCAGTCATCGCCTGGGCTGGAAGCTGCGCAAAATACAGCTATAACGACCGGGCGTTCTATACGGGGGGCGTTACATTCGGGGCAAGACGGTAGTCACATTGATCGATTGCCAGAGTCGTTTGACTGCATCGATCAAGTTGACCTGTCGATGAAGGCAATCGAATCCTTCCATCGATGCATTCGACTGGAGCAGCTGGGATCGATCGCTCGACCTCTCACTCGATGGACAAGAATCAATCTCTCGAGTTTCGATCAATGACAGCAACCGAGCCATCTTGGACCCCTCGGACTCATCTGGCCCCCTACTCACGCACGCACGCATGCACCCCCGTCAACCGCCACCACAAGAACGGTCAATGGTGGGCGGCATTTCTCAAGTTTATGGGCATTTCGCAATACTCCTGTGTTTTAGGGTTACCTGAAGAAATACGCGAACTTTCAGGGGCATTTCTACAATATTCCCGGAAAATAATACTAATTCAAAAAGATAATCGACGTCCCTGGGTCTTCTACGTTTGCGAACGGGGTTGGGTAGCTCCTAACATTTTTTGTTATATCGATGTGATTTCATCCGGATTCGAACTCCTGATCTGTTCGTAATAATTCACTCAGGGTGTATCATTCAGCCACGTGGGCTGGATGTCTTATATTCTCTTCTGTCGGCGATGGGTGACGTTTCCGCCAGACTCCTTTTTTCTTTTCTTTTTCACGACGCTTCCGGTTTGTCCTTCGGGACATCCGTTAAAGTTCGAACGATACAGTGAAGGAGTAGCATGGCCGCTGCGGAAGGATGACATGCATAAATCAAGAAATGGTTCTTTCTGGTTTAACGTCGTGGGCGCCACCATGTGGCGCCACGTTGACGAGGAGGGGGGGAGAGGGGAAACGAGTGGAGGGGATGAGCACTGAACAAATCCATAGTCAACTTGCTAACTTTCATCAAAAAATTGCTCAGAGTTTCTTAGCAAGTCACTCGGGTGGATTTTGTGATTAAGCGGGTAAACCACATGCCAAATTGGTCTGGGTGAACTCGGATATTGCAAAGATTCTTAAAAAAATTGAGTGTGCACTCTTCCTGTCCTTCCTCCTACATTTCGTGTTCTCGTCTCTCTCTCTCTCTCTCTCTCTCTCTCTCTCTCTCTCTCTCTCTCTCTCTCTCTCTCTCTCTCTCTCTCTCTCTCTCTCTCTCTCT